CTGAAAGAGGCTCTGTTAGGCAGCTCGTCCAGCTTTAGCTGTGACCGTACTAGGGTGGCTAGTACCCTAACCGTACTGCACCATCCCTAACCGTCCTAACCGTACTGCGCCTTCCTAACCGTACGGCGCCTTCCTGAGCCACCCTAACGGTACTGCGCCTTCCGTGCAGGCCTGGTTGTTTTTCTCTGTCTCTGGCAGTTACTTCATCATGATATTTCTACATGAGAATTATGCGGGGGCCCTGAACTTGAGCTTTGTTCATTGATTTGCAATTTCCTATTGGTTTGAAGATAGAGGAAGAAGAAAAAGAACTATGCTCGAGTTTCTATGTTATTGCTGTTTGAAAATGATATCATTCTTGGTTAAATACGGCTAACTATTTTCATCATGCCGCTTATGGACCATTTGAGTACAAAATGAGCTATGCAATTGCACGGATTGGCTACTTTGGCAACGTTTAACTTGGGTTCTGGTTCCTTTTCGTGTCCACCCAATTACAACCGTGGTGGCGTTGAATTGTGATGATTTATGGAAGGTCAAGTGGTCTTCTGATCAATACTCTTATGCAGAACTTTTTTTTCTATTCAAGAAAAACATTCTTTGTAAAATTGCTACATACCAGTCAGCTGTTGCTGGCACCAATCTTATTTATGCACGAACTGTACAGGCCAAGATTATTTGCAGCATCTACAGGTAACATAAAGTGAATCATTAAGAAGAAATCAGTTAACCTTCTCGTTATTAACCCGAATGCAGTTATCTGGGTTATCCTTCTCTTTTTAAACTAGCTATAAGAAAGTGCAAAACACTTAGCAGCAAGGGTGGCAACTGGATTCTCGTGTGCTCACAGACTTTTACGCAGGCTGAAAACCAGTCTATTTCTTGCTCTCATAGCTCCTGCCGCTGCTGACATAGCTGTTATTTGTTTCATGCTGTATTTTTCCGATAGGTGTTTGTTCAGGGGATGTCGAAGAATATCAGAGCACGTTTTGGCAAGCTGAACCATGAACATAGCGCGGAGATCAAATATTTCAAAGCAACAATCGAGCGAGCCTTTCGCAAAAAACTAACAAATATTAAAAAGTTTTTGGCTACGGAAAACTGAGAGAATAAAGAAATTGTGATAAAGAACCAAGCCCTGAGAACCTCAAATGCTGAATTAAATGTGCAGTGCCTTAATTTCGCGCGGCAGGTGAATGAGTATAAGAACAGAATACTCCTGCCCCACGATGGTGAATGGTCTTGTGGAGAAGGTGCTTGACTAGAAACCCTAAGGTGCCCCAGCTATCGTGCCCCAGCTATCGAATGGTTGAGAATTTAAAAAGTTGAAAAAGAAAAGAAAACGTGATTGTCTGCTTGTGTTACGCCGCCAAGCATTTTAACAAGTTTATTTCAGTAATAATGAGACTAAATAAATATGAACCATTGACCAAATGCCAAAAAAACTATGTTGTCGATTTGTTTACATCGATCTTGTAGTTAGGCCCAGACAATTTCGAAATAGGAAGATATGTCAAAAACTACACTAACTTATTCGTAATACTCTGTCATCGAAGCCTGAACTGCAGGGAAGCGAAGCCACTTCAAACAGTCGTTTGCTGCGAACAACGTGAATCTTTCAACAACCATACACCGAAATCATTTCGAAAAGGGCGTCCGAAAGCGTAACCATGTTTTACGTACACTACGTACACCAACGCTAACAAGGTAAGGTTGGAGCTGAAAAACAGCGCGTACGGTAATCGGTACGGGAACGTACCTATCTGACCATATGCACTTCGATCCCGCTATAACGGTTCGCCCGGTATCCCGGTAAGCCTGGTATACCATCACTGTCTTATGCCTTCTGGGCGGACTTGTCATTCAAGGTGGATGTCTAAAAGATCAATTCCAACCAATATTTCATCTGTTGTTGTAGCTCACAGGTCTGATCTTTATGGGTCTCAGCGATGAAAAAGAGCGTTCTGCTTCAGCTGTGCTCACGGCCAGAGTCGCCATAATCTTTAGCAGACGGTGGACGTTTGGGAACAACACCTCTGGGCAATCGGCAACCGCATGTATCACAGATGTGCTAAGGTTTCTCGCTACTATCGCTTTTTTTTCGCAGCCCGGATGCTAAGAACTCCCCTTGCAAAGCTGAAGCTGATTTTTCGAGTACACGTCAGACACTCCTCGGTAATACGAATAGTGGTTGATTAGGAAGTAGGGAAAAAGGGAAAAGAATCGGAAAAGAAAAGAAAAAAAGGCAGAACAGAAGAAGCCTCTTCAAAGTGTACCGATGCATTGTAAAGCGCTCACTGAACTTACCTAGCAATGAAATTACAGCGCCTCGCATCAGAATGCCTGAAACAGACAACCGACAGGCAGGGATGGTGCACAGTACCACGTAATTATTTGAACAAGTTGCATGTGCTGGCAGTTCTCGTGAAATTGTCGTGAGAGTTCACGCGTTCTGAGAAATTGATTATGGTGCACTATGCTCTAAACAAAACCGGAATTCATTACTTCGTCACTGGTGAACCGATCACTCAATATTTTGTGTGGCACGAGGCTGCTTTTCTTCGCGCCAGCGTAAGTGCTGCAAACATGAATGCACGCACTAGTTAGAACAGTGTATACATGGAATATCTATGCTGCACGGTGATATGCATATACGTACAGAATACCAATCAAGAAGGGTGTAAGGCAGGGGGAATCACTCTCTTCAATGCTATTTACCGCTTGCTTACAGGAGGTTTTCAGAAGCCTAGAATGGGAACAGTTAGGGATAAGAGTTATTGGAGAATACCTTAGTAACCTGCGCTTCGCCGATGACATTGCATTGCTGAGTAACTCAGGGGATGAATTGCAACTCATGATTACAGAGTTAGACAAGGAGAGCAGAAAGGTGGGACTTAAAATTAATCTGAAGAAAACGAAAGTAATGTACAACAACCTCGGAAAGGAGCAGCGCTTCGAGATAGGTAATAGTGCACTTGAAGTTGTAAAAGAATATGTCTACTTAGGGCAGGTAATAACTGCAGAGCCGAACCACCAGATTGAAGTAACTAGAAGAATAAGAATGGGGTGGAGCACATTCGGCAAGCACTCTCAAATTATGACAGGTTGATTGCCACTATCCCTCAAGAGGAAGGTATGTAACAGCTGTGTCTTGCCGGTACTTAGCTACGGAGCAGAAACCTGGAGACTTACAAAGAGGGTTCAGCTTAAATTGAGGACAACGCAGCGAGCAATGGAAAGAAAAATGGTAAGTGTAACCTTAAGAGACAAGAAGTGAGCAGAGTGGATTAGGGAACAAACGGGGGTTAAGGATATCGTAGTCGAAATACAGAAGAGGAAATGGACATGGGCCGGGCATGTAGCGCGTAGACAGGATAACCGCTGGTCATTAAGGGTAACTAACTGGATTCCCAGAGAAGGGAAGTAGATTAGGGGGAGACAGAAGGTTAGGTGGGCAGATGAGATTAAGAAGTTTGCGGGTATAAATTGGCCGCAGCAAGCACAGGACCGGGTTAACTGGCGGAACATGGGAGAGGTCTTTGTCCTGCAGTGGACGTAGTCAGGCTGATTATGATGGTGATGACAGCTTTGGATCATCATCATCATCAGCCTGATTACGTCCACTGCAGGACAAAGGCCTCTCCCATGTTCCGCCAGTTAACCTGGTCCTGTGCTTGCTGCTGCCAATTTACACCCGCAAACTTCTTAATCTCATCTGCCCACCTAACCTTCTGTCTCCCCCTAATCTACTTCCCTTCTCTGGGAATCCAGTTAGTTACCCTTAACGACCAGCGGTTATCCTGTCTACGCGCTACTTGCCCGGCCCATGTCCATTTCCTCTTCTTTATTTCAACTATGACATCCTTAACCCCCGTTTGTACCATAATACACTCTGCTCTCTTCTTGTCTCTTAAGGTTACACCTACCAGTTTTCTTACCATTGCTCGCTGCGTCGTCCTCAATTTAAGCTGAACCCTCTTTGTAAGTCTCCCGGTTTCTGCTCCTGATACGCAAGATATGTAGCTTTGGATATGTTGACGTAAAAAAAAAAGGATGGCTGCACGCTTGCTAAGAACAAAAGACTCTTTTCCGCAACGCTGTAGTTTCAGGGAGCAGAGCGACGGGAGTTACAAAAAAAAAACACCATACGTTTTTGCGCGTAGATAAGTTCACTGGCGGGAACAAGCAGCGAACAAACTATTTCTAGGTGAGTGTATAGTCTAGTACCAGGTGCATTTTCGTTTAAGACTAAGTAAACATTTCTCAAAAAGATTACCTTGCCGTAGCAGATTGCACGACATTACCTCTACGATTAGAGTGCTTCATTGCTATCAAAAGTCCCAGGAAACCCTAATGTCAACCAAAGTTTTGAGAAGATCTACCTGAAAAATAACGCGTGCGAAATCGAGTTGCCAACGTGCCGCATAACTTACAAAAAAGATTACTTATTTCGTATTGCAAGCATGCTTGGATAAACGCAGTAAAGTAGGAAATGTTGACCAGGAGGTTACATGCGTCAGGGCTGCTTGACATATAGAGCTTAAAATAAAAACTATTCCTATAGGCATGCAGTCACAAACATCAACCGTAATATATTCGCTCAGGAAATAAGCAAAAGCCAAATGTAATTATTCCTGTGTAAAAACATGCTGCATTTACCTCTCATTCCACATTGAAAGCAGAGCCATCCTCGAATTGAAATATTATTCGAGTAGAGGTCACAATGATTCAAAGACTAGTTCAAGAAATGGTGAGACGAGAAGCCGTCAGTCCAGATGGCCACTCTAGCTGTCATTTACTGTATTTTAAAGCAACTATTCCTATAGGCATGCAGTCACAGACTTCGACCGTAAAAAATCGCTCAGGAAATAGGCGAAAGAGAAAAGCAGTTATTAATGTCCAAAAACCTGCTGCGTTTGCATCTCATTCCACGTAAAGCGGCGCCATCATCGACTTGAAAGAATGGTCGAGTACACGCCACAATGATTCATTTTCGAAGTCTAGTTCATGTCGTTGGCCAAAGGGTGCTCGATGCATAATGACTGGATCGAAACCAACACTGTCTGGATGGTCATCTCCGGGATCCACGAGGGGCCGTGAAACGTGCCCAGAATGCTGAGCGAGACGAGCCCACTGTTGAACAGTTTCCGGTTGAAGCGCACCCTTCCGCCGTCAGTCGTCATGAAGCGTACCTGCGGTGGACAGGCTGGGTTGTCGAGGGGAACTTGAGCACGAAATGGAACAAGCCTCCCTGGCACGGCTCCTTGTCGGGTCCCACGATGACGGCGTGGACGTAGGTGACGTTGCCTTTTTCGGGCTTGACGAGGATTCCTGGCACAGGGTTGTCAATGATGTTCTTCAGGTCATGGTTGAGTCTCAGCAGACACTGCCCCGATGGCTGCTTGGGCTGGGCCAACGCAGTCTCCAAACTGCCCATAGGTGCACTTCGCCGAGGTTCGTCCATGGCGGAATAAGGGGCGGCGGTGGCTGTGAGCGGACGTCGCAGCATTCTGGTGGCCGTTTGCGCAGATGATGATACTATACAATGGCTCCCACCCACTATGAAACATTGACCAAGAAAGGACTTAGTCATAATAAAGTGATCACATAATATTTGTATGACTAATTATACACAATAATTAGAGTAAATAATGATGCTAATCACGATAGAAGCCACCCTGATTCATTTAAATGTTTCTGTACCGCATAACGGAGATCTACAAGGACAAAATGCTCCCAAGGATTGAATATTTGAAACTGTACTTCCAATATAATGCAATTGAACACCGTTTTTGAAAATTTTCTCGTCAAAAAAATGAAGTGGTTGCATGATAGGAAATTGTGCTGGATTCTTTTCCGATCGTAATAAAACGAGCAACGTGGGGACGGAGCCAGACTACCTGTGGGATATAATACTATAATTTTTTGAAAGCGACAGTGAGATCTTGTAAAAATAACTGCCTTTTGTCGTGTTGAACAGAAACTCCTACGCCAAGAAAACATGAGGTGTTGATAGTCGTATATATGAGCGATTGATGTTGTTTTTTTTAGTGTTTTGCATTTTGGCACGGTTTCTAAATCTGTCACGATTTATGAGAGTTGTTGTCGGTATAATTGAGAATTTCGGAACACAGAGAGTAGCTTTCGCCAGAGCGTGCGCGATTTCATTCGTTTGAGCAGGCACCTAAGGTTGATACTGCACTTTTCAGCTGAAGACGCCTCTACGTTTCCTGTAAAGAACAGAGAGAATGGGCAGTTATGGTTTACCATTAGCGTGATAGTGAATGTTAAGAAAATGACGTTACTGTGCAGCAATCTTTCGTTGCGGGCAGCTTCTTATAATTAAGCGGGATAGGGTTTACGTGGTGTACGTGCCCCAGCTATCGAATGGATGAAAATTAAGAAAGTTGGAAAGGAAAAGAAACAGTGATTGTCTGGTTGTGTTTTGGCACCAAGCATTTTGGGAAGCTTATCTCGGTATTACTGAGAATAAATAAATATGACCCATGGACCAATCCAAAAAAAAATTTGTTGCCTATTTGTTTACATCGATCTTGTAGTTAGGCCTAGAGGATGTTGAAATAGGAATCTATCTTGAAAACTACACTAACTTATTCTTAATACTCAGTCATCGAAGCTAATTGAAGGCAAGCGAAACCACTTTAAACAGTCGTTTGCTGCGGACAAAGTGAATCTTTCTACAACTACACGCCAACTTACTTCGAAGCGGGCCTCCGAGAGCGTCGCGTTGTTTTACATACACTACGTATACCTACGCTAACATGGTAAGGTTGAAGCTGAAACGCAGCTAGCGCGCATGCTAATCGGCACGGGACACGTACGTATCTGCACATGTGCACTTCGATCCCGCTATCACGGTTCGCCCGGTATCCCGGTAAGCCCAGAGTGTTATCACTGTCTTATTTTTTCCGGGCGGACTTTTATTTCACGGTGAATGGTCAAAAGAACGATGCCAACCAATCTTTCATTTGTCGTTGTAGCTCTCAGGTATAATTTTTAGTGGTATCAGCAATGAAAAAGAGCGTTCCGCTTCAGCTATGCTGATGGGCAAGGTCACCAGAATCTTTAGCAGACGGTGCACGTTTGGGAAGAATATATTTTGGCAATTGTCAACCTTATGCATCGCAGACATGTTAAGGTTTCTCACTTCTCTCGCTTTTTTTTCGCAGCCCGTATGCTACCAAGTCGCCTTACAAATCCAAAGTTGAGATATTGTACAACTAGACGTCAGAAAACTCCTCAACAGTGGGAAGAGTGGTAGATACGAAAGTAGGGAAAAAAGGAAAAGAAAGGGGACAAATGAAAGGGTCAGAAAGGAAAATCATCTTCAAGGTGTGCCGATGCATTGTATAGCGCTCACAGAGCTGACCTCGCAATGAAATCACAGCGACTACGCATCAGAATGCAAGAAACAGACAACCGACAGGCAGAGATGGTGCACATTACCGCGTAACTAAGTAAAGAAGTTGCATGCGCTGGCAGTTGTTGTGAAATTGTCGTCAGAGTTCACGCGTTCTGAGAATTCGATTATGGTGCACTATGCTCTAAACGAAACCAGAGTTCATTCCTTCGTCACTAGTGAACCGATCACTCAAGAGTTTGTGTGGCACGAGGCTGCCATTCTTCACGCCAGCGTAATTGCGGCAAACATGAATGGGCGTACTAGTTAAAACAGTGTATACATGGCCTTTATATACTGCACGGCAATATGCATATATCTACAGTTTTGAACATGTTGACCTAAAGAGAAATGATGGCTGCACGCTTGCTAAGATGAGAAGACTCTTTTCCATAACGTTGGCGTTTTGAAGAGCAGAGCGACGGGAGTTACGAAAAACAAAACAAAAAAGAGAACACCGTACGTTTTTTCGCGTGTATAAGTTTACTGGTGGGTACACGCAGTGAACGAGCTATTGTTTCGTGAGTATGCATAGTCTGGTCCATGGAGCATTTTCGTTTGAGACTAAGTGAACTTTTCTCAACAGTGATTACCTTGCCCTAACAGATTGCACGACATTACCTCTACAATTAGAGTGCTTCATTGCTATCAAAAATCACAGGGAAACCTAATGTCAACCAAAGTTTCAAGAAGGTCAACCCGAAAAATAACGCGTGCGAAATCAAGTTGCCAACGTGCCGCATAACTTACAAAAACAATTACTTATATCGTATTGCAAGCATGCTTGGATGCACGCAGTAAAGTAGGAAATGTTCACTAAGAGGTTTTAATGCGTCAGGGCTGCTTGACATATAGAGCTAAAAATAAAAACTATTCCCATAGGCATGCAGTCACAAACATCGACCGTAAAAAAATCGCTCAGGAAATAGGCGAAAGCGAAAACCTGTTATTAATGTGCAAAAACCTGCTACGTTTGCATCTCATTCCACATAAAGCGGAGCCATCATCGACTTGAAATAATGGTCGAGTACACGTCACAATTATTCGTTTTTGAAGTCTAGTTCAATAAATGGTGGCCATGTACCTGTCGTTTACTGCATTTTATAGCGATTACTTTTATTATTTACTTACTCCTCCACTCTTCACAGGCATACACGCATGAGGCGGGATGTCTCGTGACTTTGATATACATTTACACATTCTGCCCAAATTACCGGGGATAGTCACGTAACAGAGACCCGGAGTGTAGGAGGGAGGAGGTTCAGGCTTCAGCGTGCTCCACCCTCCTCTCCCTGGTCGGGTCGTTGTGACCACATCCCACATAAATATTGTCTGGCTACTCCACTGGTTTATTAACGGTTTGCAACATTTTTTAAGCTCCAAAAAAGTATCCATGAGCCCAAGCAGTCCATGATGCCTTTGTAGTCGCATTGTAACATTTTCCTCATCGTTGGGTTGTTTTGCAGTTTTCGACCATGCAAGTCTTGCAGTCTCTCGAGTAGCGCTGCGTACTGCTGAGATTCCTCCACGCTTGAGTCCTGGCCAAGTAGGGAGATGGCTACACTTTCGTACTTGTCATATTGTTCTACGAAGTGCTTAATCACAGCCATTTGCAGGTCCTGCGGGTACAACGAGTTATTGAGGTGGCAAGCATCGAGTTCGTCGCACACCGCAACATTTGGGGTCTGGGAGCGCAGTTTAGCGTTGCAACCGATCATCTTTTCAAGCCAAGTTTCGAACTCCCGTTCCAGTGCAGGTTCGTGTGCCAATGGCTGCTCGCTAAGCAACGACTGGATGGAAACCACCACCGTGTTGATGGTCATCTCCGGGTTCCATGAGGGTCCGTGAAACGTGCCCGATATGCTGAGCGAGACGAGCACACTGCTGTACAGGTTCGGATTGAAGCGCACCCTTCCGCCGTCGGTCGTCATAAAGCATACCTGCGGTGGACAGGCTGGGTTGTCGAGGGGGAACTTGAGCTTGAAATCGAACAAGCCTTCCTAGCACGGCTCCTTGTCGGGTCCCACGATGACGGCGTGGACGTAGGTGACGTTGCCTTTTTCGGGCTCGACGAAGATTCCTGGCACAGGGTTGTCACTGATGTTCTTGAGGTCATGGCTGAGTCTCAGCAGACACTGCCCCGACGGCTGCTTGAGCTGGGCCAACGTGGTCTCCATATTACACGTAGCTGCACTCCGCCGAGGTTCGTCCATGGCGGAATAAGGGGCGGCGGCGGCTGTGAGCAGACGTCGCTGCATTCTGGTGGCCGTTTGCGCAGATGATGATACTATACAATGGCTCCCACCCACTATGAAGGATTGACCAAGAAAGGAGTTATTCATAATTAAAGTGATCACGTAATATTTGTATGACTAATTAAGCACAATACTTAGAATAAATATTGATGCTAATCAAGATGACAGCCACCTTGATTCATTTAAATATTTCTGTACCACATAACGGAGATCTACAAGGACCTAATGCTCCCAAGGATTGAATATTTGAAACTCTACTTCCAATATAATGCAATTGAACACCGTTTTTGAAAATTTTCTAAGGACCTATTGCTCCCAAGGATTGAATATTTGAAACTGTACTTCCAATATAATGCAATTGAACACCGTTTTTGAAAATTTTCTCGTCAAAAAAATGAAGTGGTTGCATGATAAGAAATTGTGCTGGATTCCTTTCCCATCGTAGTAAAACCAGCAACGTGGGTACGGAGCCAGACCACCTCTGGGCATATAAAACTTTCATTTTTGAAAGCGACAGTGAGATCTTGTAAAAATAACTGCCTTTTGTCGTGTTGAACAAAAACTCCTTCGCCAAGGAAACATGAGGTGTTGATACTTATTTATATGAGCGATTGATGTTTTTCTTTAGTGTCTTGCATTTTGGCACGCCTTCTAAATCTGTCACAATTTATGAGAGTTTTTGTCGGTATAATTGAGAATTTCGGAACACAGAGAGTAGCTTTCGCCAGAGCGTGCGCGATATCATTCGTTTTTATCCCTTTGTGGCCTGGTACCCAGAATAACCTGGTTACAGTTACTTGGATAGGGACTAGAAAATGAAAACTACGTGATAAATGAGAGTCGCTTTTTTGGGGCTATGCTGAGCACAAAAATAAAGAATCTGTTACTATGTATGGCCATATTTGATGTCGAAGGGGAACTTTCCTATTTCTATTACAACCTCCAGATTGTATGCCAAAAATCTCGATAAGAAATTGGGAAGTGCTGTAATGAAAATGACTGAATGAGGGTCTCAAAAATAATACCACTGCTGGATTTTTCCTCAAATGTGAGACACCTGATAATGTTTGTTCCATATATCTCCTATAAATGACTGTGCAAAAGCCCATTTCATTTTTGGCAATCAAGGAACGAAGGAAAATAACTTTATTTTTATTCTATAGAACGCGACAGGGTCCCGCATCTGGCTGAGCCCCACGTAGACACCAGTAAGGCAACTTTATCGAGTGATTGGGATATACATAGTCAAAATGACTCAGAGGTACTGTCTTTCATGACCAATGAAAGTAACTTCATTCACTTCAACATCGACTGGTTCAACAAGTGCTTGTACGTAGCTCAGCTGAGTGTTCTGAAACCGAGGCCAATAAGAAAATTTAAGCCTCGCTGATACATAAAAATTGTTTTTAATTTTATCGTATATTGTAAGCACAATGTGGACAATGTTTGACCTCCACCTTGTTAATCTTTATATTGTCACGGGGTCGTGACGTGGCCGAAGACAGTAAACTTCGTGTTGGGATTTGACTGTTTATTTGGGCGAACCTGTGCCCGGTAAAGGGAAAGTCTAATTACAGCAGCAGTCTGGCACAGATAGCAGTCTCGGACTGATAGCGGCGAACGCAGCGTCGGCCTTCGATCAACAACTGACGAGCGGCGAAGCGCGTCGGCATTTATACCCTTGCCGTCGAAAGTTCTAGCGTTATCGCTGGCGGTGGCGTAGGTTCCAGAACAATCTGTACCGTTCGCACAGTGGGCGTGATCTTATCGAAATGATCTACTACAGTCCGGAACCTTCTCGAAACCTGCAGGCGCGGTTTGCGCCGAGAATCGTGTGGTGTTTCGGAACGATAACAAAAACTTGGGAAATGGAACGTAGCATTGCCCCCCTCCGAAAAAAAATGCTTTAACTAAAGATGTAGGTACAATAATAACGCAAGAAAGTACAATGAATAAATTACAATACAACAATAATACAAAAAACACTGTTTCAGTTTGTTAACGTGCATGAAACGGCTTGAGGCGCGCGACATGGACGACTTCAGGTCGCGATCGGCGTCGTTGAGCGTTCGTGATGCCGTCGGGGACAACCTCGTAATCAAGTGGGCCGAGACGTCGAACCATCCTGTACGGTCCGAAGTATCGTCGCAGAAGCTTTTCACTTAGTCCACGTCGGCGTATCGGCGTGCACACCCAAACACGTTCACCGGGCTGGTATTCCACGGAGCGTCGTCGAAGGTTGTAACTGTGGCTGTCGGTCGTCTGTTGATTCTTGATACGGAGACGCGCAAGTTGTCGGGCTTCTTCGGAACGTTGAAGGTACTCGCTCCCATCAAGGTTTTCTTCGTCGGTGACTTTGGGTAACATGGCAACGAGCGTCGTTGCCGGGCTCCTTCCGTAGACCAATTTGTATGGAGATATCTGTGTCGTCTCCTGCACCGCCGTGTTGTATGCGAAGGTCACATACGGAAGAATGGCGTCCCAAGTCTTGTGTTCGACATCGACGTACATTGACAGCATGTCGGCGATCGTCTTGTTAAGCCGCTCGGTGAGGCCGTTGGTCTGTGGGTGGTACGCTGTCGTTCGGCGGTGGTTTGTTTGGCTGTATGCCAAGATCGCTTGAGTTAAGTCGGCAGTGAATGCCGTTCCTCTGTCGGTGATAAGGACCTCCGGGGCGCCGTGACGTAAGACGATATTTCCGACGAAGAACTTAGCTACCTCGGATGCACTGCCTTTTGGCAGGGCTTTTGTCTCGGCGTAGCGGGTGAGGTAGTCGGTAGCTACCACGATCCACTTGTTTCCGAAAGCCGACGTTGGGAACGGCCCCAGTAGGTCCATACCAATCTGCTGGAAAGGTCGGCAAGGTGGATCGATTGGCTGCAGAAGTCCCGCTGGCCTTGTCGGCGGTGTCTTGCGTCGCTGACAGTCCCGGCATGTCCTCACATAACGATTGACGTCGGTAATAAGACGTGGCCAGTAGTACCTTTCTTGTATCCTCGCGAGCGTGCGGGAAACACCGAGGTGTCCTGCCGTCGGATCATCGTGCAGACCTGCAGGAGTTCTGGTCGCAGAGCTGAAGGCACCACAAGGAGGTACTTAGCTCGAAGCGGTGAAAAGTTTTTCTTTTGTAGAAGACCGTTTCGTAGAAAGAACGACGCAAGTGCGCGCTTGAATACCTTCGGGACTTCGGTGGTCCTGCCTTTGAGGTATTCTATTAGGGCCTTAAGTTCCGGGTCGGCCCGCTGTCGTTCAGCGAAGTCGTCGGTAGTTATCGTTCTCAAGAAGTAGTCGTCATCCGGGTCGTCGGGTAGCGGTTGGTCGACAGGCGCACGAGAGAGACAGTCAGCGTCGGAGTGTTTTTTGCCGGACTTGTAAATGACAGTAATGTCATATTCTTGAAGTCTCAGGCTCCATCGTGCGAGGCGACCTGAAGGGTCCTTCAAGGTGGCTAGCCAACACAAGGCGTGGTGCTCGCTCACAACTTTGAATGGCCTGCCGTAGAGGTAGGGGCGAAATTCCGACGTAGCCCAGATGATGGCGAGGCACTCCTTTTCTGTTGTGGAATAATTTGCTTCTGCTTTGGATAGCGATTGGCTGGCGTAACTAATAACCCTTTCAAGTCCGTCAGCCCTCTGCACAAGAACGGCGCCAAGACCTACGCTGCTTGCGTCAGTATGTATTTCTGTCTCGGCGAATTCGTCGAAATGGGCAAGTAACGGAGGCGCCTGGAGGCGATGTTTAAGCTCCTGGAAAGCGTGTTCCTGTGGCGTTTCCCACTTGAACTCCGCGTCGGCCTTGGTAATGTTAGTGAGAGGATCGGCGATGCGGGCGAAGTTTTTCACGAACCGCATATAATAGGCGCACAGGCCCAGAAATCGGCGCACGGCCTTCTTGTCAGTGGGCGGCGGGAAGTCGGCGATGGCGGCTGTTTTCCGTGGATCGGGACGAACTCCAGACTTGCTGATAACGTGCCCCAGAAACAAGAGCTCCTCATACGCAAATCTGCACTTTTCTGGCTTTAGTGTGAATCCGGACGTCTTGATGGCTTGAAGTACAGCTTCAAGGCGCCGAAGATGCTCGTCGAAACTCGAGGAAAACACGACGACGTCGTCCAAGTACACAAGGCAAGTCTGCCACTTCAATCCGGCCAGTACTGTATCCATAACGCGTTGAAAAGTTGCAGGCGCTGAGCAAAGGCCGAAGGGCATCACCTTAAACTCGAAGAGGCCGTCCGGTGTTATAAACGCCGTCTTCTCTCGGTCTCTTTCATCGACTTCGATTTGCCAATAGCCAGTCTTGAGGTCCATTGACGAGAAGTACTTGGCGTTATGGAGCCGATCAAGTGCGTCGTCTATTCGTGGGAGAGGATATACGTCCTTTCTTGTGATTTTGTTCAGGCGGCGATAATCGACGCAGAAACGTAGGGTCCCATTCTTTTTCTTCACTAACACCACGGGGGATGCCCACGGACTCTTGGACGGCTGGATAATGTCATCTCGCAGCATTTCATCAACTTGTCTCTTCATGGCCTCACGTTCTCGCGTCGAAACCCTGTACGGACTCTGACGGAGTGGTCTGGCATTTTCTTCGGTTATGATGCGATGTTTCGTGATTGGGGTCTGCCGAATTTTCGATGACGACGAAAAGCAATCTTCGTATTGCAGGAGCAGGGCCTT